ATAATAAGGAAAATCCACATCTGCTATTGCTGTTTTTGTCGACATCTTTATTATAAATTCAAAAATATGACAATATAAACATTACTTTCTGTGCAAGAAATTTAGAATAAAAAAAGGTATCTTATGAATCCAGATTTTGGACCCATTCCCAATTCCATATTTTATTCCAGCTGTCCTCTATGTTCCATGTTTATTGGATCGGTTAGTTGTTAATGTAATCCATTTTCAGTAAATTGAATTATCATTTTTCAAAATTTTAAAATCGGTATCGCGTTGACTACTAATAAGTTCACAATTAATGTAGACGAAACACGTGTCCGTTTTTATCTTTCTGATAAAGAACCCCCAGTGAGAAGTAGAGAGAGTGACGTCAACGTATGTATAATTGGCCTAATGAGTATAAACAAATTGATCGTAATAAAAAAGCCATTATACAAAATAATAAACAATTTTTTACTTCTTTGTCAAACAGTACGTTGGTTATTAGTGTTTTAAGTATTTGTTGCTGTCCATTAATGAGCATGTAGCCCGATAATTACATCGGCCAAGTCACTATTAGATCAAAATATTGTTGCAGTGAAATACAGCGGATAATTGAGCGGATACAAATTAAAACCCGATTCATACTATCGGTTAAGACGCAGACCAAAATATCGTTGGAGTGAAATACCGCGGTTAAATGACCNGTAATTGTATATTTCAATTACATGTGCAGATCTTTGAATTTATATTCTATTCTTTTATTCTACATCTAACAATGGATGTACGGGGAGGCGTTTTTAAGTTCGCGGAATTGGGGTAACAAGTGGAAATAAAAATACGAATTTATTTTTCCTTTTCAATATATTCGCCTGCTACCCTTATACATTTCTCCGATGTTTCAATTAACTTACGTATACCTTCGAAAAAAAAATGTTCTGTCTTTGTCTGAAAAATACGCCGAAACTGCATCCTTCACTTCGTCGCTTGAAAATTTCTTCCCACGAAGATTTTTTTTCAAGTTTGGGAATAGGTAATAATCGGTGTGAGCTAAGTGAGATCTATAGGGTGGGTGATCCAAAATTTCGAAGCCCACTTTCTGCAGGGCAGCCATCGCAACAAGCGCGTTTTCCTGTAGAAGGAGGACACCTTTGGTCAATTTTCCTCTACTAATTTTGTTGAAAAATTTGCACTTGGGGTGCCAGCTTCACATAGTTGAAGAATTCTCATGGATAATTCTGGCAAGATAAAATGAAGTTTTGCCCCATTCCGGGAGTTTTTTTCTGTGAATTATCAATAAATCGCTCCTTTCGCGAATAAAAGTCGTGAAATTTAATAACGAAAAATTCCCTAATTCACAACTATTCGCTTGAAGCGAACGGCAAGTTCTCATGGGCCAAAATCTATTACTGCAATTTTCCTACTTCGCTGCGCTAGAGTATATATATCCATAAACCAAATTTCTCAATTTTATCAAATATTAGCTGTCGAGTGGGCACCTTATTCTTTCATTTTTTTAATATTATAAAATATTAACTGCTCTCAAGTTTAAAATACTGTCGAAATACAATTTCTGAAAATCAATTTTTTGTCGTTTTTGAATTGTAATGTTCTTACATTTAAAGTTACTTTTTACTGTTTTAAACAATTGTTGCTAACCCATATCAACCATAAATTGTTTTATAAAACTGTTGTTTATGAAGAGTAAATGGATTGAAACAATATCAATAAAACATTGTAGGTGGGTAATTTAATGTTCCGAAAAACAAGTTTTCAACGTCGCATAATAAAATATGCGTAGGCTATACGGGAGAAATGTTATACACTAGTGGCGAATTTAGAACCGGATATACGAATATTTTGTTAAATGCAATCATCATTTTTATAAAATACCACGTGACATAGGAAAATTCATACAAATGCCTTCGACTATCTTTTCATATATATAGCTAAATAATCAAGTAATAGAAGTCGAACAAGTGAAACTGAACTGAACTGAAAAAAGCTTCCCGGGGTGTTAGGCTTTATTCAAATTATTTTGAGAGTTTGGTTAGTTTGGGACAGTTTTCAGAAAAGCAGATAATATTTTCAGATAGGCAAGGTTGAAGAAATATTCCACACATTCACTAACTGACTAAGTTATAGTTTCTGTTCGTGAGACTTAAAAAAAGAGCAGACGATAAAGAAATGTTCGGTAACATTTTGCTTTTCCTGTATAAAGAATAATATATTGGACACGAAAGGAAGAATCTACGACATTTCCTCCCATATGTGAATTGGGGATATTAAGGAGATTTGATTCCACTAAGTCGGAACTTCCGATTGAAATTACACTTACGATTTCGACTTTGGTTCCGATACTTTTAAATCGGAGGTCGAAGTTACGCACGGTACGGGGCGGGGCTGCCGGCTGCTGTCCGCGCTATCAAACATATTTATGCTTATCGGGGAATCCCGACTACTATTTCTCTTGGTTGTTCCGCATATTTTGCGTTCGCGCTTCTATTAAACCTTTCCGAGTTTTTAGCGAGTGTTATGTGTTTAATTTGACGTGTTTGAATTGAACAACGAAGCCTAAAACAAGTATCTATTATTTGCAACTATTTTAAAGAAGTGTGCGAATACATTAAAGTGTAAAGTCCGAGTCCGATTCCGATTCTAATTGCGATCCAGATTCCGATAAATCAAATTTTAAAATTTCGATTTCGGCAAACCCATCTTCGTTACATCCCTGATGTGAATTGCCACTCAAGCCGAAAGCAAGGCGGCTAGGGCTGTAAACTCCGTGGAGGTAGGTCAAGCAAACTTTATTGTACTGAAACAGAATTAGACCCTAACCTCACATTTATAGGGGAATAATTGCAAATTATATTATATTTTTTGTAATTCCATCAGGATATCCATTACAGAAGTTTCAAAATTTTTTAATTTATGAATTAAGTTTTCAATATCAAGGTTAAAAATAATATCATATTTGCGTATTCACTAAAATATAATAAAAATCCAAGGATTCAGTTCTTTAGAGGGTGCTTACTAGGTAGAACATTAGACGTTTTAGGGAAACTAAACGTGTTAGAGATTTTAAAAATGTTGCAATAGGGGTTATCGAGGATGATCTCTATAACTAATAAAAAATCACACTATTGATTAGAGGTGCGCCGGCTAGTGATTTTGCCCCGTACCGGATAACCGAATACCCTATGAATCATTAGGGTTAATGGTTAATGTCTTCGTTTTGGCGGGCTTTCGACTAAATACCACTGTCATCAACGCAACGTCCCAAACCACATTAAGTCCCGATCAAAAAGTCGTTAGAATACTAAACCATTGAAATTTTAATTCTTAGTTGGCGGATTTTCAACGAGAGAATTGAGTTGAAACCATTGAAACGAAACACTAACAGCAGCCTGTAAGATGACAAAACATACTTACATAATAACTCTGATAAACTAACATTTCATCCTTATGTATTCTTGTTCACGAGAAGAAGTAAACAAAACAACTACATCGAAATCACAATAATTTAGCATAGTAATCGATAAATAATATAAATTATAATAAACGGCCTATACCTATTCCNACGGCATATTATTGTTTTTTAATTTACAATTAATTTTCCTACACCAATATTAAATATTCCAAGGTCGAAATGTAGACACTCCGCGGAATAACTAATCTATCCTAGACCTTTAACAAACCCCGAAAAACATTTTAATTGTAAGTTTAAATTTCAAATTAAGAATGGAAACAACTTTAGCTAACGATAAACAACGTTCACGATATTTAGAAACAGCGTTTGCCCTAGTGAAGTTTTCTATTAATTCGATATTTTACGTATCAATATTTTTCTCATTTACTCATCAAGTCCTTGGATTACCCAAAAATTTTCTTGAAAACACGTTATTTTACGACACTGTATCGCGCTTTTATATGATACAAATAAAATTGGCTTAAACCACTAAAGAACCTGAAATCACGAATCATCTCCTTAGATTACCAAAAGCACATTTTCGTGAAAACACGTCACTTTACGACACCCTTTCGCACTTTTATATCATACAAAATAAAATTGGCTTGAACCACTGCACGGAACCAAATTTTACTCGAGCAAATTTGAAAATTGGTTAAAAAGGAGTCAAAATTACGAATCATCTCCTTGGATTACCCAAAAGCACATTTTCGTGAAAACACGTCACGTTACGACACCCTTTACCACGCTTTTATATTATCCAAATTAAACTTGGCTTGATTCCAGTAGCGGATCTTGGACAATCGCAGCCCCATGCATAACTTTACCTATTCTTAAAAAGATAATAATCCCAAACTATAAAATTGCTAAATGACTCGTAGTTTTACAATTTTATAATACATACAAAACTGGAATGCGAGGCTACTTATGGAACCCTTTTAGTCGCCCCTCCCCCCCATACTTTTGGGGGAGCAAATCCTTAAACGCAATTTGGACTTCCACTTGACACTAGTATCGACAGGTGGCCCTGATTTGAAATTTAATCTTAAAATATACTTCGGGATGTGAATAAAAACCTAACCTATGTATAATATGTATGTACTGCATTTTTTTGTTTCTTGAGATTTTTTTATAGTTCTTGTGAAAATTCGATGGTAAATTAAGTGGTAAAAAGAAACAATACATCATTGGAGAAGATAATACAAAGAATATAATATATTGTCCTTAGTAGGACATGATAGTTATTTACATAATTTCCTAGGTTGTTATCGATGGTTCCAAAATTCTACAGTTTTTTCTTGTTTAAAATTTAATTAATTTACTTTTGATTTGTAAGTACCGGTGTTACGCCACTGGTTCATATAATAAACGCACGCTGTTTCTCTTCCCAAGATCACAGGGGCCATGCCTACTATCCGACGAGCGAATTCAAACAAAATTTTTTATAAATATTTTGCGGGCGTAGACAGTGCGTATTTGGCAATCAACCAAACGTACAATGAAATGAAAATTATTCGCAAAGCATGTGTATATTTTAGTTAATTTATTATAGGTCCCTACCTATTTGCTGATATTTTTGGCTGGAATTATTCCAACAGCGAAAGCGAACCAACAATATGCGCTGAGTGAGCCGGCCTTGTAATTTAGAGTGCGCTTGTACGCCTGCGTTGCATTCACTCCACGAAGAATCGAATAACGAAGGTAGCCATGGAGCCATGCTTGTAGTCGCCACGTGTTAACGAAGTGCCGGTAAACGGTCGACAGGAAGTGCGTTCAGTATTGTCGGAATTTTTTAGTGAAACATATTTTGTGGTGATAGTTTTTACCTGTGAAACAAAATAGAATTAACTTCCCGCATGTTTAGTTGTTTGATTTTCGAGTGAACAAGATCGCTTAATTGGATTTTTGAGGTTATTCTTTCCATGATGGTATGTACTTCAACATTATGTACTTGTAGATATAAAAGTGCGTTTGATTCAAATGTGGGTTCCTTCCACTCGCAATTGTGGATTTTATTACATTAGGCTCAATTGTATACAATGTGTATAAATTGTTACACAATTGATCAAATTGCGTTTGTTCTTTACTGGATGCGATACATATGTTTGTTTAAAACATTAATTTAAAAAGAAAATTCCAACATAATCGTTATTATAACGGTACCTATATATTCCAAAAATTAGTACGCAGTCGTTAAATGTAGATTTGTTTTTTCATTTCAAGAAAAAAGAAGTAGATACTGATTTTGGCAGGTACTTGAAACATCCAATTTGTTGACGTGTTATTAGCAGTAAAATGTAGGTACATATGTACTTTGTGTAAGATTGAAGTTTCGCTATTTGTTTTTGTTTTAAAATAGTTGTACCTATCAATTTTTATAATTACTTGAAAAATAGAAATTAAATTACTAATTTCGTTTTTAGTATTTACCTACCTACCTACCTACCTACCTACCAGTTTTATTATTATCATGATTTTACTGTTGCATTAGAATTTCATGTATGCTACAAGATTATAAAATAAATACCAATTACCTATTATGAATTACAGTTCTATACCTTATTTTCTACATTAATATTTCTAATTCCTTAATAATTGTCCGTGACACAGTTTTTGAAGCAATGAAATAATTAAAATGTTGACTGGATATCAAAATAAATTAATTTTTCTAAATAGGTATACATAAATTCAAATACCTACCTATTGAGTATTGATGTACTTAATGTTCGTCTAATTTTAATTCACTAATAGTAGTCGGTAGTGTACAAATATTTAACTTGCCAGTAGCTTCACACGGTGAGACAAACTCACCTGCACGTACCTAATACCTATTCAGTTAACTTAAACTTTGTAGTTACCGGTTAAAATTCCAATTCCTTCTCTAGGCCTTGTAAGAGAAAGGTAAAACAGCTGGTTAATAAATACCTAACTGGTGGTCGTCTTGGTGTAAGCGTAGTTTGACTGTAGACAGGTCCATTTCCAGTTCCTACATAATTCCACTTAATATGTATACACTAGTGGCTAGTTTACAACCGAACATAGAGATATTCTGTTGCATACGATCATAAAAGGGCGGCACCGTATTTTGAATACTACGACGTGGTGTAGGAAAATTCGTACAACCATCTTGTCATATAAATAATAAAAGTAATATAAGTCCAATAAATGTAATTTAAGACATTCTTTATTCAAAAAAAATTGAGCATTCGGTTAGCTTAAAACGGTTTTCAGAGAAACAGATGATATTTTCTGATAGATATAGTTGAAAAGCTATATATTCTGTGAATGATTTGCCTTACATATATGAATATCATGCATACACTTAGAATATCGTATGTTTGTATTTATTGGAAAAAAATCCGTGTGTGTTGGATTTTTATTAAACACACCGGTTAAACTGCTTATTACGTAATCTAATTTAAGATCATCTGATAATACGTATTAGCTATTAATCCCAAGTCGCTATTTCTTCCCCTAGTTCTAATGTGAACGAAAGAATCAAGGCAAAAGTGGGTTATTGGTTATAGAACCGGCACCAACGTTTCGCTTCTTGTTATAAAACTTTTATCACGATTTTGTCTTTATTGTATTGTAACGGCGTCCTTAATCTTGCCGCGCGGTTTTTAATTACTATAATAATTTATTATTTTATTAATACTTTGTGCTGTCTTTTTGTGTAGTTTTTATTTATTTATCTATTTATTATTTTAATAAATTGTGTTGTTTAATTTTAATATTTTACGTGAATATGTACCGATAGCAGACGATTATTTATAAACATCTTATAACTAACTGAAAGAACCTAGTAAATGCCCAGTACAATTAAATTCTGTGCAACTATTATTTATACATATTTTGGCTTTGATAAAGTCTCCTAACAAGAAGCGAAACGTTGGTGTTGGCTGTCTATCCAATAAGGGCATTATCATCCTCTTTTGCTTTTATTCACTTTAATCCCAAGTGTTTGTATTTTTTCCGAACATGTATGTATTTAATGTTATACTTCAAACATTTAAAACTAAAATGTTTATCGTCTTTTATAACACAATGCCAGTGATTTAGGTAAAATGCCTGGCTAAGTTGTAGATATCAGTGTGTAATTTAGGAAACAAATAATAATAATCATTCAACAAAACTAAATGCCTAAAAGTTGATGCAATTTAATTAGATAATATGCTTTAAATGAAGTAACCCCCAGTGAGAAGTAGAGAGAGTGACGTCAACGTATGTATAATTGGCCTAATGAGTATAAACAAATTGATCGTAATAAAAAAGCCATTATACAAAATAATAAACAATTTTTTACTTCTTTGTCAAACAGTACGTTGGTTATTAGTGTTTTAAGTANTATTGTATTGTGCAATATTATTGAAGTAAAAATACTCTGAATTTCGAATAATCGCTGACAAAATTACGATGTTTACTTAAGGCCTTAAATAAAGTATTTTGGCGTACTTTATGTGTCTTGTAAAATATAACGTATGCACAGTCGAAATAGAGTACAATACTTTATAATATAGTATGGGTGGCAACCCTACTTAGGGGCGACGGCAACTGAAGTGAATTTTCTGGAACATGTTGCGAACAACATTTATTGATTTCTACGTTGATGGTACCTACATGTGTGCCATGGCAGCATAAACCACACATTCCTTGGACTTATCCGTTTTCTGCGTAGTTCTGACACAAAAAAAAATTGGATCATCTGATCGTAGCGGTCAGAATTAACGCTGGATGGGATGTACGCTCTTCAAAAAAATAGGGACCTATAGTGAAGGTAGGGCCAATCGTACAACACACTGATTTTTTCAGAATCCCTTGCTTTCTCGCAGCAAAATCCTTACTAAGTTTCAAAATATCTATTCTTTAATTGCTGAACACTGTAAGTTTCTACGGATAGAATTTTAAATCTATATGCAAGATTTTCCAAATATCCGGTTCCCGATTGTTACCCTGTATTATATGTACATAAAAAGTTATCTCGTCATTTAGGTATTGGCCTGTTGTGTTTGACTCTCTTTACAGTTTGCCGCAAGTGAAACCAAGTGCACAATTGATTACTGAGGTTTTTTAATGGAACAATTTACGCTCGAACGACGCGATTTTTTCCCCCATTGTTCCAACACACGCCAATCGTAATAGCAGTCGTTGTCTGTCACCTTTCGTAAAACAAACACCACTAGCACACGATGAGATTTAGTAATAACTAATCACTTCTCAAACTCTCTTTTCATTCGGCGTCACTCTTTTTGTAAGTGTGCCTTTTTCAACTAAAGAAGGAAACGGAAGTAGGGTCAAATTTGCAAATGTAGTTGGTTTTATTTATAATACAGGATGTTTCTGAACGATCGCGCAGGGAAAAAGATTGTTTGTTATTTGTTGTATTAGATTAAGTGTGTCAGTTGACATAGATTAGTGCAGAATAGGAGGTGTGCTCAAAAAGTATTGCGAATTTTGAATTTCCGCGGGTTACGTATATTAGATTTTTTTGTGGTACCCATGTCTCTCACTTATACCGGCAAGTTCGGCTATATTGAACATTCAGTTAATTTTTGATAGCTTGCACGTGTTTTAGATCGCCTTCGAATTTTGCCTATTCCAAAAAATTGATCAAAGAATCTGTATCAAATTTAGTGTGAAAAACAAAATTAAGTGCGCGCACGCATTCTGAATGTTACCTTAAACCAAAGCAACGTTTATCGGTGGTACAAAATGTTCTCAGAGCTCTGCGAAGATGAGAACGACGAAGAACATGCCGGACGCTCGAGTACGTCAACAACAGACGAAAACATTGACGAAATGAAGAAAATAGTATTGGCTAGTCATCGAATAACCGTTATAGAAGTCTGTGAAGACCTAAACATATTTATTGGTTCCTGTCATTTTATTGGTTCCTGTCATTCGATTTTTACCAATGATTTGGACATGAGGCGAGTCGCCGCGAAATTCATACCAAAATTGCTCAATTTCGACCAAAAACAGTATCACAATAATATTGCTAAGGAGCTGTTGGACTCTGTCCGCGACGATCCAGATTTGCTCCAGGGTCATAACTAGTCACGAATTATGGGTTTATGGTTATGACGTGGAAACCAAAGCTCAATCAGCCCAATGGAAGCTGCTGCACGAGCCAAGACCGAAAAAAGCGCACCAGGTTAGGTCGAATGTGAAGGCTAGAACGATCAATCTGGAAACTAAAAGGGCCCATGAAAGGACGAGACTACTCTACAATTGATGAGATAAAAACGGCGTCGAAGGGGAGGAGCTGAACAAGATCGTAAAAAATAATTTTTTGAAGTGCTTCGAGGATTGGAGGAAACGTTGAAACAAGTGAATAATATCTGGTGGGGATTATTTTGAAGGGGACAAAATAGATATTTATGAATAAGTAAATAATTTTTGAAAACACAAAATTCGTGATACTTTTTGAACAGACCTCGTAGTAATATTGCATTGTCCAATGCGTGAGTTTCTTAACGAACACTTTCCTAGGCGCTAGGTTTACCCGACCGTGTATGATCGCTGCTAATGAAGTACGCCAAACGCCAGACATTTTGCGCAACCCACAAATAATTTTTGTTGTGTACGTACAAAATGTTTGTGTGTGTGTGTTTACTGTAATTACTATTTTAAAAGGAAGGATAGGGCTACTGGTGAACTACTAATAAAAAAAAGTAAAACAGCTTGGCAATATCTCAATAGTGGTTTGGATATTTACCTTGCAATTAATAAAATTACAATTACCTATCCAGAGGATATTAATTTAGGTATTAATGTTTGCGTGACGTTAACTTTTCTTTATTTTGTGTTCTTAATACCATGTCGATGTGTATTTTAAATAATACTGCATACTATCATCAATGAACAAAGTAGTTGTCGCAATGGGCGTCTAAACATTAGTAAGCTGTTGATATTTACTTTATTAGGT